CTGAAGCCTACCTTGTAGGATTTTGAGCATAACCTTGCTAGCCTGTGAAGCTACCTCCTGCCAAAGCAGGAAATCTATAACCGACAGACAGGCATCCATTAAAATGTTTAATGCAGAAGAGTCAGCCTAAACTAATCCATTCCCTGTTGAATGGCTTTTTCTCCCAAGATATTCTACTAATGTGTAGTCAAAATCTCCTTTCTTGTAATTAAAATCCCCTGGTTCAGGGCCTACCACCTGGAGCTGCAGAAAACACAGGTGCTAGCTTTGTTATCTACCTGTGATAGCAATTATTGCTGCCATTGTCTCTCTCTCATTCAAATGAGCCTGCTAAGCCAATCACTCAGCAAATACCTAACCTTATCCCTCTGTCTGTCTGTCTGTCTGTCTATTTGTTTATTTACCCACTTTGGCCACTGCTGGGGAAAATCACTACTCAGGCTAGCCTAAGAGCTAGAGACTGGTCTGGATCACTAGGAAGCTTAGGGGTTGAGTAGGGATTTGAAGAAGAATTGATGCTTTTGAACTGTAGTGCTGGAGGAGACTCCTGAGAGTCCCCTGGACTGCAAAGAGAACAAACCTATCCATTTTGAAGGAAATCAATCCTGAGTGCTCACTGGAAGGACAGATTCTGAAGCTGAGGCTCCAATACTTTGGCCATCTCATGAGAAGAGAGGACTCCCTGGAAAAGACCCTGATGTTGGGAACGTGTGAAGGCAAGAGGAGAAGGGGACGACTGAGGATGAGATGGATGGACAGTGTCATCAAAGCTGCCAACATGAATCTGACCAAACTCCGGGAGGCAATGGAAGACAAGAGGGCCTGGCGTGCTCTGGTCAATGGGGTCAGGAAGAGTTGGACAAGACTTAACGAATAAAGAACAACAAGGGACTTGAATCCAAGTCTCCCTGCTATTTGTTGAACACCCTGTTACACCATATTTCTGTTCCTGTCTATTGACCCTTCCGCCTATCTGTCTGTCCATGTAAGGATGAATGGATTTGCAAACCCTGTGTTGTGTGACTGCAAATAAACACAGGCTGAGAAGTCAATGTGAGATTAAATATGAGCTTTGATCTTCTACCCACTGACTCCTGCAAGTAAACATGCAAAGGACAGGCTTCTGCAAGGGCAGATCAGGGCAAGGTGGTGGTTCTCTCTTTTCTGAGAGCTTTTTTACACAACCAGAGGAAGAAAATGCTAACTCTGGGGCTCTCCAATACCTCTGCAGGTTGTAACCCACAGAGGCTGCCTGAGTGATTCATTAAACATTTCCTAGACTTCCTTCTTCTAACACCACGCTGGCATTTCATGCCTTGGAAAAATCATTTCAGGGCGGAGAAGGGAAAGCACACCACTGTTGGCTGAGCAATTTATTTGACAAACTAATTTGAGTCATCTAGATACAATAGTAATCATCATTGCTTGCTGATAAAATCTGAGCATTATGTTGCAGATACTGTACAAGCAGAGGGAGAGATAAAACAGGAAATGCTGAATCTGCATTGGCAGGAAAGCAATTGACTCCTAGGCAGAATGGCAAGAATAATAATGACGATGATCAGGTGAGTAAAGGTGAAGATTACAGAAGATTGCATAACTGCCAGCCACTTCCCTGCAAGAGCATTCCTGCAAGTTAAAAATACATACTCTGTTCATGGTCTTACAGGAACACTGTCTCTGTCTCCACACAGCAAGGATGGGATTGTTCTTGGACTGCAGCTCCCATCAGCTCTAGCTAGCAAAGCCCATGCTGAAGGATGCTGGGGATTGAGACTCATGATCTGGAGGGCCATTAGATTCCCCATCCCTGCTGCACAGGCTAAGGACCAGAAGCTAAAGGTCCTCTGGCGAAATCTGCTCTCAGGAATTCTGGCTAGGGCTTCAATTGCCAGATGCCATATTGCAGAGCATTGCTTTGGAGCACAGATCTCAAGGTCCTGTACGGTCAGGGTGGCTGGAGGATTCTGACAGTTGTAGTCCAAAAAATAACTCTTCCAAAACCAGGTTGGATAAATCATAGGATAAATATAGTAAGTGCTCTCTCTCTCTCTCTCTCTCTCTCTCTCTCTCTCTCTCTCTCTCTCTCTCTCTCTAAGTGAGAGCATGCATTTGTTTTGGATGTGGGACATTAACTGTGCAGTGCTAGACACTATTACTCAAAAAGCATATCTGATTCGGCTCAATGGAGCTTATTCCCAGCTAAGGGGGCAGACAATACATTGAGCACACACAACGTTCTTTTCAAGGCCAAAAGAGAAGAAAAACTATATTACAAAATGTCAGTGCTGGTCATGTTGCTGTCTGTTCATGCAGCAGTGTCAGACTTTAAAGCCACTGCCTTAGATGTCTTGATGAGGGACGTGGTGATGCTGCGGTTTAAACCGCAGAAGCCTCTGTGCTGCAAGGTCAGAAGACCTGCAGTCATAAGATCGAATCCACGTGATGGAGTAAGCCCCCGTTGCTTGTCCCAGCTCCCGCCAACCTAGCGGTTTGAAAACATGAAAATGCAAGTAGATAAATAGGGACCACTTCGGTGGGAAGGTAACAGCGTTCTGTGTCTAAGTCGCACTGGCCACGTGACCATGGAAGATTGTCTTCAGACAAAACCCTAGCTCTATGGGTTGGAAACAGAAAGAGCACCACCCTCTAGAGTTGGACACGACTGGACAAATTGTCAAGGAGAACCATTACCTTTACCTTAGATGTCTTGATGACTTCCTGGACAGGGAAAGAGAGCAGAATGAGATGTTTCACTTCAGCATGCACCAAGTCCTCCGTTCCAACAGTGGGCCAGAGTCTCCTGTAGACTTCAGGAAGCTTTGAAGGAACAGACACTCTCCTTTTGTCCAGGGCACCTTGAAGATTGGCGGATGTGACAGCAAATCAGTTTTGCTTACTCTGAGACGGGGACCCCCCTCCAAGACGGCAATGCCCGGCTGCCTTTCAGGAAACATGTGGGAGGTGGTGGGAACCTGCATATTCATGCTGGCTAAGGAATTCTGGGACCTGCAGTAAAAAAAAAAAAAAACAGGAAATTTTAAAGCTTTGCTCTGGCTATCTTCTGTCTGTGTGTTTGTGAAAGAGAGTGACAGAGAGATTGGGATGAGACGCAGGGCCTTCTGTGCTGTGTCGTACAGGCTGTGGAACTTTCCCCCCCTTGAGATGTTCACCTGGCCCCATGACCTTTAAGCTCTAGGCTGGGGGTGGACAAAATGTACCCCTCCAGAAGGGCTGGGTTGCAGTTTCAATATTTTTCACTATTAACAGTGCAAGCTAAGAGGCACTGCAGTCCAACATCATCAGGAAAGCTGCATGTTCCCCATCCTATACTTTAAAAATGATTTTTAGAAAAATAACTTGGCTTTTCATGTGTTTAAAAATCCTTTATCTCCCCTTTGTTGCTTGTGCTAGTACTTAATGCTAATTATTCTCACTTTTGTTGTAATATAAAATGAGTTTATAGTAAGCTTTCCCTCTCTATCTGTTATGTGAGCTACTTGGCGCCAGAGAGAATATAGGTGAGAGATGAATGAATGAAAATGTATCTCATTCCCTATACTCTGGTTCCCCATCAGTGAAAATGGAAGTCTTGATAAGGAAA